CGAAGACAGTTGAAACTCGCCGGGCCATGCCGCTGAACGTGCCGCGCCATCCCAGCTTTCGGAGAGCACTCGCCGGGCAGTCGGAATAGTTTTACGGACTATTGACTCAGCCAGCATGTTTGAAGTCCCGGTTGTTTGTTTCTGGTGTCCTCAGTTGAAGGAGTCGTCGTACATGACATGCAATGCAGTGGCCCCACAGCCCAAGTCCCACGCGGTACCGCTCCATCCCTGCTGGTTCTGCTTGGGCTCTGCGATGATTTCGAAGATCGTGAGACCTGTCAATAAACCGGCAATAAATCGGCCCTTGAATTTCTCTGCGCACACCGATCAGCTCTCAGTCGACCACTGGATGGTACATGTGACTCAAAGACAACAACTGACAGTACAGTTTGGTCCAATGACTCCAATCAGTGCCTTGCAGCCTTGCAATTGAATTTCTTTCAGCGATTTCAACCACAGGCTCAAGAGCGGTCCGCCGGAGCCGTCCGTTCGGCCAGTGTTCACGGTACTGTTTTTGCCTGCTTATAATATGAGCACCGTAGAATCCATTCAGAAGACAATTATGAGGGTAGTTTCACAGTGGCAACCCTCGCTTCGATTTGCGGTCGACCAAGCTACGGGTAAGACATCCACAATATCCATGTCGGCTGGCCTCAATATTAATATGCCTGACAAGAATAGGTATGTGAGTCATAAATAACCCTGGTGACAGCCACTGTCTTTCCTCATTGATTGGACCGTCCAAAGTCATTCGGACCCATTAATGCTACCGATCAGGCAAGATTCACGACACATGTGCTCGACGACAGTCTCGAGGGCAGTCTTAAGACACGGAAATCACTCTCTTCTTCCGGTAACCTGCTCTCACTTACCCCGTACGTCGTTTCTAGGTGACTATTCCGCGACTTGTCGCGGTCCGGGTGCTATCCGTCTACCAGTGCACCAGTCATGTGGAATATTTTTCCGGCCTGGACTCCTTGAGAGTCCGGTGCGCATTTCCCCCGGAAGGAGATATAAAGCGGGGACGACTTGGCGGCGCTCCTTGGCACCTCTTGGCGAGCGCACGGGAAGAAAACTTATGTTGAACATTGCGGCCTTCAGTATCCTCCTCGCTTCCGCTGTGACCGCTTTTCCAGCGGTCAATCACACGGGCGTCCTGAATGCACCGAGGAAAATCGGCCGGCGCTGCACCGGAGAAATCCAATCTCTCGCAGACGTTGCCGCCGCGGAGGAGTGCACAACGATCGTCGTAAGTGAACAGCATTAGGCAGGCCGAGACGGCAGTAATGGTGCTCTAGATTGGTGGTTTCACCGTGCCTGCCGGGGAGACATTCGCGCTGGCCCCGCCGGACGGCGCGAGCGTGTCTCTCACTGGGGCGATAACCTTCGCATTCAAAGTACATTTTGTGTCCTTCAGGTTGGGCATATTGTCCTGACATCTGCAAGGAATGGGCAGGACCACTTATGGTGAGTTCCCCTTCCCCCGTATCCCACTTATTTCTGCGCTAACGTGAGGTTTATCAGACTATCACCGGCAACGACATTATTTGTAGGTTCTATCCTTGGCGTCAGGTTCAGGCGTTTAATTTGGGCAAGTCAACGGCGGCGGCCACGAATTGCTCGGGCTCGGAGACGAATACTGGGTAAGCTAAACTCAGGGCCCGGAGAGCTAGCTAACCGCCTAATAGGACGGGGTAATTATCATTCTGTTGGCGCCTGCGATAGAATCCCAACCGTCCGCAGGAAGGAATCAACGGCGGGGTAACTAAACCGGACCCGATGTTGCGAATTAACATGGGAGGTATGTGCCAATTATCACAGTCCTCCATTCGCACTAATCTTACTATTCCCAGGGAGCTTCACCAATTTGAAGCTTGTTAATTCTCCAGGACGTGCGATCGCGATAGGTGAGGGGTCTAACCTTGGCTTACAACGACGAGGCAATTCAATTTACTCGATACGCAGGCGGCTCCTCCTTGACGGTCAGCAGCATTGATGTCGATAATTGTGAGCCTACTGGTGCCTACATTTGTTGTCGAAATTCATGGTGTATTACTAGCCGCCGGCTCGGCGGCGAATAGTAAATCAGGCTCCAACCCAGCAGGTAAGTTCTATGGTGAATTTGGACACAGACGGCCCTGGGAATGAGTCGGATAGGTGCCAACACAGATGGCTTCGATGTCTCCGCCAACAACGTGATCATCGAATCGAGCACGGTGGCGAACCAAGGTACATTCCCAGCCATTAAAACTGCACTCACTAATCCGCCCTCTGTCCGTAAGACGACTGCCTGGCCATCAACAAAGGCACGAACATCATGTTCTCGGGGAACACCTGCAGCGGCGGGCACGGAATCTCAGTTGTAATTGTCTCGACCTGAACTTCATCTTTCTACATGCTCAACGAGCTTGTTAGGGATCGATCACCAGTGGCGTCACGGTCTCAAATGTTCAGATTACGGGAAATACGATCACATCCAGGTATAAGCCACGGCCATCTGTTTTGTCGTACTTGCGCTGGTGTTGAATTTTCCAACACAGCGTGAATGGGCTGCGCATCAAGACCGATGCGACGGCCAGCGGCTCCACCGTCAGCGACGTCGTGTACTCCAACAACAAGGCCTCCGGGATAACGGAGTTCGGCGTGTTGATCGACCAGAGTTACCCATCGACTCTTGGTAAGTTTCTCCCCCCTCCCCCACTTTATAATTCTCACTTGCTCGCCTATCAGGCACACCCGGGACGGGAGTTGTCATAAATGTGAGCTCACGGCCATCCCGTCTGCGCCGACTTCCCTGACCTCAGCACTTGCAGACCGTGACGTTCTCCGGGACCAACACCATCGCGGTAGGCTCGTCCGCGAAACGCGTTGAAGTTAATTGCGGAAGTACGAGCAGCTGCGACGGGTAAGACAATGCTTTGCATGGGCCGTTCAGCATTGTAATTTACCGACATCGCAGGACGTGGAACTGGGCGGGGTTGACGGCCACTGGGGGTTCCGCCGGCGCAGTGAAAAATGCACCAGTGACTGGAGGGTCGTTCTAGTAATGAGGAGAACTTTATTAAGCAGTGTTTGCTTCGGACCTCTTTGTATGAACTTGATGTCCCTGTGTTCATAAACCTCGTCGAGTGAACCACTAAACGGGACTATATAGCTTAAAAGCTGGGCGGGAAGGCAGAACAAGTCGGGCACGCCCCGACTCGCTAAGAAGGCTTAATAACTGCAGCAGTGCACCGTGCCCCACGCCCCATTAATTTTCTCGGAATGAGAACCTCTGTAAATGAATTGACGTCTTGGTACGTCATAAAATGTTCGTCGGTCCCGGGGCTGTTCAGTCGAATACCCAGACACAGTGACGCGTGCCAAAGTGAAGACTCTATAAATTACCTTGCTTGTCAAGGTCTCTCCACCTTCATAATTGGCACACTTTTCGTCGCACCCGGTGATCCTGAATCTCCCGAGAGCCTAGACTTGGCCTGGATGTCAACTTTTATTCATATTTATGTCCCATTCCCCGACCTCAAAAATTGACTAAACAGAGTCTGACTCTCAACTTACACCTTACCCCAAATGCAGAGTCCAGCAGAGCAGATTCAAATTGCTTGATGTTCCAGATGACTATTTTGTGCCTCAAATCCATCCTCTCCGGAAGTCGAAGCCTCCAATCGGCGCAAGCAGGAGCTGGTGACGCCAAGATAAATAAATACCCGTGGAGTTTTCGAAAGAAGCTGGAGCTCGCACAATGAGCGCAAGCAGGAGCTGGCAACGCCCAAGAGAAATAGAGGCTTGGAGTCGCAATGGGCGCAAGCAGGATCGGGCGACGGCCCAGTGCACAAAATGCAGAAAACCATATTCGGGCCCTCGGTCTCATGAATTTGTGCAAGCAAGGTATATGCCGACGGAGTCGGCTCATCCTGGTCCTTGAATGATTTTTAGAAATGAAGCCAACGCTCTTGCAACGCTATAAAAAGATGCCTCAGGTTGAATTTCGGGCGCGGGGAGTCGAATCTCATCTCACTGCTGAATACATTGAAGCAGCCGTAATAACAGCAGCGGTACACCTTACACCACGCCTGATTACTTCCCTGGTTACGAACCTCTGTACGTGCACTCAATTTGAATCCTGCTTGAGAGGGTAGAATGTGCGAGGAAACTGACTTCTGGTTGTAGCCTAAAAAGACGTGAGCATCGAGGAATTCGGGCGCGGGGAGTCGAACCCCGTCTCACTGCTGAGTTACTAGCGGAAATGGCACATACACTGCAGTGCTGCACCGTACACCACGCCCGATTACCTCCCTAGTTATGAACCTCTGTACGTGCACTCAATTGGAATCCTGCTTCGGACGCCAGGAGGTGCAGACGAACGGACTAGTTGCAGCAAAAACGGGACAGTAACCACCACCATTCGGGCGCGGGGAGTCGAACCCCGGCTCGCTGCTGACTCATACCGATGGAATAATGAACGCAGCGGTGCACCGTACACCACGCCCGATTACTTCCCTGGTTACGAACCTCTGTACGTGCACTCAATTTGAATCCTGTTTCGGAGGGTAGAATGTACGAGTAGACTGACTTCTGGTTGCAGCATAAAAAGGAGATGTGCCAAATGCAATTCGGGCGTGGGGAGTCGAACCCCGGCTCGCTGCCAGATTATGATGCGAAGGCCGTAGTAACAACAGTAGCGCACCATACACCACGCCCGATTACTTCCCAAGTCATCAACTTCTCAAGGTGCGCACAATTTAAATCTTGGTTCGGCCGTCAAGAATGGATTCACTTCCGGCTGTCCTAGCGTAAAAAAAGAAGATGCGGAATAATTCGGGCGCGGGGAGTCGAACCCCGTCTCGCTACTGAGCTATTCGAGCCCAAGGCATAGTAACTGCAACAGTGCACCGTACACCACGCCCGATTACCTGCGAGAGTATCAACCTCGTTAGGTGCGCTGAATTTGAATCCCGTTGTCGGGCATAAAAAGAAAGGTCTACGAGGCAACAGAGCAATTCGGGCGCGGGGAGTCGAACCCCGGTTCACTGCTTAGTAACGAGACGACCCTCTATAAGCTGCAGCGGTGGACCGTACACCACACCCGATTATTTCCTGGGATGTGACCGTCTGTAAGTCAATTGAATTCAACCGCATTGTACGCCGTGAATCATGAACTTTTTGTATGGAAGGGCTGTTCACAAGACTGAAACAACCCGGCGGTATTTTGGCGGCGACTTACTTCTGTGCAATTGCATCGAGGATTTTGAGCGCGCACCGCGCGCGTGAGCCTCGCGCTCCGGTGCTTGCTCACGCCGTGAGGCAAACACCGACGCCAAATGATCGGAGCCGATCATGTCCAATCCGGAACCATCAAGACGCGGAATGCCGGCATTGCAATTTTGTCCGCTGCCACCCACTTCGACTGTTAAAAAAAAGTCGTGGAAGCTCTCCTCAAGGGGCTGGCACTGTTTGTGCTGAGCCACATTCCGCCTTGGGAGTCGCGTAGGTCTTATTTTGAATGAATGAGAGTCTTGGTTGAATTGGACATACGGGTACTTACCGTAAGCATCAGCGCCCACATGGGCGCAATCAAAATTGATTGTTGCGCACCGCCTCTGTAGAAATCGTCTGTCGCGGTAGTGACTGCTAAAAAGAACTTCCCCTTCTTCCCCACAGGCACCCACCATCCATTCCTCGCAAACCGTGCCTTCGCAGCGCACCCCTCGAGCCAGCGATATCCATCATGGTCGACCCAGTGCTCGCGTACACGGTGGTACAATCACAGCTATATACGGCCGCGGTGCGTCCCGCACATTAGCCGTCCCGCGCGCGCTCACCCGATATATCATCCAGGGCGCCCTCTTCTTCAACGGTCCGTCGCGTATCCTTGGCCTAGCCCCCGTCCCGGCATCTAACCGCACCCACGTCAGGGATCTGCCTCCTGCTCTTCGCCCTCGCGGTGTACTTCCTGCTGCAGACCAAGACCGCGTCGTCACACCTCTTCCTCGGCGTCTCCGTCGTCCTCGTAGCCTTTGCGCTCACGCACCTCATCATCGATGTCGTCCTCGCGAGCAGGATGTCCGAGCTCCTCGACGCCATGCTCGCGGACCCTGCGGCGGATTTGAGGGCCATGGAGACGCGGTGGGCGCGCCTGTATTCCGCGCGCCAGGCGCTCACCGTCACTAACAAGTGCGTTTTCTTCCTGCTCCCTCATTGAACGTCTACTAACTTGCATGGCCCTCCCAACAGCGCGTTCGCTGACGGCATCTTCGTGCGTTCCCCGCTCCGCACCCCACCGATAGCGAACTAACCGCCCCGCACTGCAGCTCTACCGCTGCTACGTCATTTGGGCGACCTCGCGCTTCCGCATCGCCGCCGTCGCTGTCCCCGCGTTCCTCGTACTTATCACCATGGGTGCGCACCGTCCCTCGCTATTATCTCGGGCAGCGGCAGTTAATGATTATCATTTCGTACGCAGCGATGGGCTACGCGGCGGTTGCCATCGTCTCCGTGTCGATGACCTTTCCCTATGCCCTGGCTCTGATTACGAACTGTGTGCTGTTCGGGCTCACCGGTACGTCTCCTCCCCTTTCCTCCCTTTGCCTCCCTTCTCCTCCTTTTTCATTTCATTTTTGCGGATGCTGATGCGAACACCTGATGCAGCGGGGCGCATCTGGCGCAAGGGCCGCGACGCGACGCTCCTCCTCGGCCCGCGCGCCGGCGCGCGGTACACCACCACCATGGCCATCATGTGCGTCTCCCCTCCTTCCCGTTTTTTTTTGTGTGGTTTGCTAATACGTGAAACGCCAAGCTGCGAATCAAGCCTCCTCTACGTGCTCACGATCCTGGTGTACTTCATCTCGTTCATCTCGATGGACTTCCGCGCCGCGCTGCCGAACTTTGCGTGGGGCGCGATGCCGCAGGTTTTTGTGCGTCCCTATACCCCTCCGTATACCTCCTCCCGCTGCGTCAAATACTCACCACGCTGCACGCGCAGAACATCGTCCCCTTGATGATAATGGTGCGCGTCGGCCTCGCGCGCGTCTTCGCCGAGCGGCAGGAGGCCGCGTCATCAAACATGTCAACCCCGCTGATCTTCAAGCCCGGCGCGAGCGAGTACTCGTACTCGGGCTCCGCGGCGCCGAGCCAGTCGACGAGGACACGGCAGAGTGAGACCACTTATGTGGGGTCGGCGAGCCGCACGAAAGAGTACGGGCGCACGAAGGAGTACGGGGCAAAAGAGGAGACGTACGCGGCGCGGCCGAGCGAGGACGCCGCGGGTGCGAGCGAGTACTCGTATGCGCCCACAGGGTGCGCGGACGCGGAGGGCGGGCGGGGGGTGTATGTCAAGGTCGAGGGATAATGCACACATATAGAGCAGGCGCGCGCGTGTATATATGTAATGGGTAGGCGATATGGACTGAAGGAGGTAACTAAGGCATCAAACTTGGAGGACGACACGGTGAGGGTGGATAAGCGCACCAATCTGGGTGGGCTGAAGATGGGGAGAATGAGCGCCTGTGTCAGGATATGAAACACACTGCCGACTCGTGAATGAATTTGTCAGCGGATCCGGCGAGACGTGTATGGAGCTCGAGGGTTTTTTGTTTTGTTGCTGCGGGACTGAATGAGGAGAATCGTACGCATTTGACGAGGGTGATGCTGAAGGTTGGGAGCACCAGCGGTGTATGGAACACGCCGACCTGATAAAAAGGAACATTTCGGGTTCGAGTCCCCGCTGATGCCTATGGTCTTGGAGTTTCATTTTTGCTACTGGATTAAATGACGGAATCGTACGCATTTGGCGGAGGCGAAGATGAAGGTTGGAAGCACTGGTGGTGTATGGAACACACGCCGACCTGATATAAAATATGCATGGACAGTTCCGACGGGGTGAGAGTCCCCGCTGGTGCGTATAGCTTTCAGAGGCCCTTTCTATGTATCGCACGTCCGAACGAACATCTTACCGTTGAAAAGTGAATATTGTGTGGGTGCTTGGCCCCGTTGGCGTCAATTGGAGTGCGTCCGCGGGAATGCCGATACCCGCTGCTCAAGCGCCTCTGACTACTCCTGCCACTCCGTTGTAAACTTCACGGCAGCAGGGCTCGTACCCTGGTCCGACGGCAGTGGTTTTACACTGAGTTAAATGATATCGGTAGGATTAAGATTCGATTATGGCCGAGGCCTTCATATCGTGCCTGCGAAATTCTCCGCGAGGCTGTAAGGCAGGGGCTGCGGCGCAGGTGGATCTAGAGGACTCACTTCAAACCAGCCAATCCTGGGTTCAATGCGACGAATCTGCGACGGCTGCGTGAGACAGCGAAAGGCCGGTTTAAATGAGACGCGCACCATATCGCTACCTCTCAACCGCGGAAAGTATGGGGCTCGCAGCATATATTCGTCGGCATCCATCTCAAGCTCGACGGCGCATATTTCAGGGTTGAGAACATCCGCCAGCGTGGAGTCCAGCTGGCCCAGAGCTCCGCGGCCTGCGAGCCGTTCGGTAATGACGTTGGACCTGAAGCACAGCACGATATTGCGGATGCGATTCGCGGGCGCGATGGTTGCGAGCGTGCCGACCACGGCGGGAACTGTGGAAGGATAAGGTACGAAAATTCGGAGGAATTTGAGTGTGGGGAGGGAAGCAAGATTAAATGGGTGAAGATCCTGGGTCCGATGTGAGCCAGGACATCGGAGATATGCGGAGGAAGCTTACTAGAGCCACGAAGTCGAACGCTTCTATGGTCTGTCGGGTACCAGCTAACGCCAACTACTCCCAACCAATTTGCGGTTGGCTAAAGATCGACAGCAATTTCAGCTGCGATAGATCGAAAGGGCGTGCGGCGTGCTCCAGCCAGGCAGCCAATTCCCCCGTTGTCCGTAACGAATCCAGGCGGATGAGAGTATCGGCGCGGGGATGATCCCATTCGGTCGGAACATAGTCCAGCGAGGAGCCGGATAATTCTACATGTCTGATGCTCGGCGAGCAGCGGTCCCACATCTTGAGAAATATCACAGGATCGGCGAAGATGGAAGTTACGCTGACATAGCGAAGTGCGGGTAGGCTGAGAAGCCGCTTGAACGCGCGCGCCATTGGGAGAAAAAGACGTGAGAGGTGGAAGATCGACACATGCGCCACCTGGGTGAATGGGAGGTTGCAGACGGCCGACAATGTCTCGATCGAGAGCGAGTCTGCATTAATGTCGATTCTCCGGACGTGTCGAATGAGATATGGAGAAGCGCGAAAGATCTCCTGCATCCGAGCCCACATGCGCTCGTGGTTTTTCAAGGGAGACAGTGTTTCGAAGAGACGGCGCTGAGCGGCGCCGGTCCAAGCACGGGAGACCAGAGCGCAAGCCAGCAAATCCGGCGATGACTCAGGGAGGAACTCCAGGCAGTGGTCGACTAGTTCAGGGAGACCTAGCGGATTGGAAGTGCCTTCCATGGTGGCTGTGAAAGAGAAGAATCGACGAGCGGGCGGTGCAATTCTGTTTGCCGCTGCTATTCTCGCCGAGATGCCGATAGACCCAGCGAGAAGCGTCTCGTAAATTTTACACTACGTGGGCGCACTTTTGACATTCCGCCGCCGATCTGATTCCCGATCTGGGAATTTTGCAGCGGCAACATTCGGCAGCATGACGGTTCGGCACGTCGGCGCTGCCAGGAAATGCGTAACCAGAGCAAACAATGCCCTGCGCGTGTTCCTCCTCCCCTCCACCCTCCCTCCTTCCGCCCTGCCCGCCGTGCTCCATCTTCCACCCAGCCACCCCGCCAATGCCCCCAAACATTAATAGCCCTGCTTTTCGATGCCCCAAGCCAGACTGCGGCCGTAGACTCAAGCTCAAGTACGCATCCAGCGGCGTCCATGCCAAATGCTACTACCTCGATGTGCGTGTATCCTACTCCTCCGTATCTGGGCCACTATTAATAACTCTTGCTTAGTGTCACAATGCTTCACACCCTGACTCCAAATCTATGTGGTATTTCTTTCCTCGGGGTGTAGCCCCAGATCGACGTCCTGCATCCTCTCCGCCAGCACCCCTCCCGTACACTGGACAGCAGTCGCTCCGCCCCACCTGCACTTTCAAAGGTTGCCTGAAGATGA